TAATTGTGATGTTATAAATGCATTATTTTTAATATTTCATGATTAAATTGTTATTTAAGAGTGCTAATTATTTTTCTAAAATAGAAATGAGAACCTTTAGATGAGATGTCCAAAATTTAAGTGAAAACCTTTAAATGGGACGGAGGGAGTATTTTCTTAGATGATTTTCGAGTTCAAATAGGGTATGGATGTATTTGTCCCAGTACAGGTTGGTATCATGTTTCTATCGATGCCTCATTTCATTAAAATACACCTTTTTCATCATCAAAGGCATATATATTCATGAAGACAATGATGAAATAGTCATTTATATGGTTGCTATACCTGAGTCCACACCTTCGGTAATTATTTCAAATGTTACTGTTCCTGATCCTAGGCCTCCAATACACTTGGTGTACACCCTTTAACACAAAGCACCATATCACCCCCCACCCGTGATTACTTGTATACTGATATTGATCCGATGTCAATCGCATGTCCTGAACCAATACCTGCATCTTCAGATCTTGTCTCTACCAGTACCAGTATCACTCCCGCGGTGAAACATGTCACTATGATTGCGAGAAATTTTTTCTGATGATTTCTTACGGAAAAACAAAAAAATTGAAAAAAAGTGAATTTTCAGGCAAAGCCATGTTTGAATAGAAAAACAAGTGTTTCAAGAGTTTCTAAAGAGTTTCTGTATAGTATCATAAATGGAAATACACTCTTTGCTGAGAGTTTCCATGTTTCATTGCATAAAATCAATTATATGACATGAAAAAGATGCCCTTGTAGTTTTTAAATTTATGGCGGGATTAACATAAAAAAGCCAAACCAATAAACTACTTACCAGACACTAGCAATATATTTGACCCAATCAAACATTTGAAAACACACACACACGTATTTGAAAAATATAATTTACTCAATCCAAAGAGCTTTAAAAAATCCCGATTAGCTGATTACCAAATATCCCTTCATTTCAGTTTCAAATTCATGCTCTATATTAAGCATGATTTTGTGAGAATATTTTGATCTATCTGTTTTCTTTCAAGGTTCTATTTTATTTTCTTTAAATACTTGTTTTCCATTCATCACAGGCGCCATTATCTGCAGTGTCCACAAGGCTTGTTAGGAAGGCATTTTGAGAAGCTTATTCAATGTGATCCGCGTCTGAACTTTCTAAGCCAACAAGCAGAGATAAAATTAGATACTCCTTATTTTGAATCCAAACCTGCTTGTGTAATGTCAATATTTGAAGAACCGTCCGGTGAGAGTGTTACCACCACTGGGACTGAAAATTGCACATTCGTCAATGATTTATGTGACGCCAATTCACCTTCAGGGGCTGCCTCACAGAGTGAACAAGATCCTTTTGTTCAGTCTTTTGAATCTATTCGGCATGAGGCTCCTTCCCCGAGCTCGGGTACGTTAAATTTGATATTAAGAAAAATATGCACTTATGGAGCATTAAGTGTTAAAGTCTATTGAAAGAAAACTGTCTTTATAGACTTTATTTAGATATGCTCATTACTGAGTTCGATATGCTAGAAAGAAAATACTATGGTAAGGAAATATAAAGAATAAAGAATAGAGCAGTGGTAAATTGAAAGCTAAATTCAATAAACTTACTCCGTATTTTATTATTTACAACATATTCCTCTTGGGATGTATTTTATTATTCACAACATTTATGTTTTTTGTAAGTTTTACCTTATTGTTTCATCTTGTCTTTTTGTATTGTTTCATCTTCTCTTTGAAACTTTTCATCTATTCTCTAATACTTTTTACACTTTTTTAACACTATTCACTACCTCTACTATTTGTTCTAAATCTCCTTAAAAAACCTATAGTTGCAAATAAAAAAATACGGAGGGAGTATATCCTAATATTTATTTATTTAATGACCTTGGCAAATAATTATATACCCATAAATTTATGTAAAAGGATTTTTAGGTGATAATCATGTTTCATTTAGAGGGAGTGCATCCTGCGACAACTTTTCTTGAGATTCTTTTCCCTTTCATAGCATTCTCCAGGGTCCTACCCTAACATGCTCAGAACTTCTTTAGGTTCGCATTATTTAATGAACTTAAGATTTTCTTGCCAAGGATTTATGCCTGGAGTGGTTACCAGGAATAAGCCTAAATAAATATATCCTCATATGACTTAGGTAATGTTATACAACTTGAACCAAACACCACACCATTTGGGTAGAATACTGTCTTTTGATCACTTTCATTTTTCTTTCGCTAACTTTTTTTATTATTAATATATTCATAGTGATGGATGCGCGGGTAGTCGAAGATATAAAGAGCAGAAGAGTAGTACAAGAAGAATGGAAGGATATAGGATCTGGGATCCCAGTTCTACACCCGTCCATGTCAATGAGCGATCTCGTGACCCATCTTGAGCAACGAGTTTCCCAACAGAACCCCCAGCCCCTCTCGAGTGAGGAACACCAGAGTCTACAAATCCTTGAGGAGATAAATCGATGCTTGTTTAGCGACACTACTCAGTCAAACTCGGATGAGAAGTCTCTAATGTCTCGGGTCAACTCACTCTGCTCCCTTCTTCAAAAGGACCCTCCTCCCACCGGGGACACGTTTCATCATCCTCATCATCAAAGCAATGATAATAACAACAGTGCAGGAATAATAACAATGGGAGACAGTAAACTGGAGCAGGAGGGGGATCAGAGACCAGCAGCGTCAATGACAAGAAAGGACTCAGTCGGGGATTTGTTGCTTAATTTGCCAAGAATTACGTCTCTTCCTCAGTTTTTGTTCAATATTGCTGAAGATTCTGATTGTCCTCAATCCCGGTGAGAGACTTGCCTTTTCTGTGTAGATATAGCTGTTAGTGACTAACGATGCTGTGTACTAAATAGGAATTGGTTCTATTTCCAGATACTTGTCCTTGTTTTACGTGGCTATGTCAAATCCTTAAAAGTTGGTGGGTGATATTAGTGGTTAGTTGAGCTTTTTCAGTTTTTAGCGAATTCAATGGTGTAAATGGGTCTTGGACAAGATTGTGATTTAGAGATGGATATATTTGCATCATGCTAACTTAATAGGGGTATGCATCATACATGGACACAGTCCGGTCCTGGGGGTGGGAGGACGATAAGCTGAAATCAGCACTGGTTATTCCAGACTAGGCATGGACCCAGTTCGGAACTGGGTTTGGAACTGTTTGAGCCTGAATCGGGTCTGTTTTTCCGTATTGGGCTCAGGTCTGGCCTTGTCTTTTGGGTTTCGGTACCCTGTACCAAATTACCTAGTTTGGGACCGAACCGGGGGGTCCCGGTTTTGATTCAAATGGTAATTTTTTTATTATTTCAGAGCGGCAAAAATAAAATAAATTAACAGGGCCGAATTGGGGCTAGAGTGATTGGGTACCTGAAACTGGCCCAAAACCCTGCATAAGCAGGCGGGCTCGTGCTTCACTACCATCTGACAAGGGTTGGGCAGTCTCGACTCGGAATCGGGACCGACCAATGAGGGTCCATGCCTATTCCGGACCAGAACTCTAGTCTCGACCATTAAGATTTTTTTTAACTCGGAAGGCTAACTATCAAAATAAGTGAGGTAAATGAGGTGATGGGTATTATTTACCGTATTTTATTAATATAAAAAGTAAATACATTTAGAGAGGGGTACCAGACCAATATCTTCCAAGAAGTGGCATACCATTCCGAAATACATATGAAAGTACGCATAAAAGTAAATGTAATTACCAAACACTGAATTAGTATGGATTAGTAAATCCATCAAGTGTATGACAGTGTTTATTTATGCTTCCAAATGGCATATCCATCCACCATCCATCCATCTATGGAGTCATACCTGGCGTACTCTTTCATGGAGTCATAAGACCTATGTGGGCATCAACATCATTTTTAGTGAGATCCATGTGTGGTGATGATGGTGCAACATAGACCATATAACTCTGTAGAGAAGTAATACATGGCTCTTTAAAATCTCTCATATTTAAACATTGTTAATTTTAAAGTTTCAAATGATTACAAATAACAAAATACTAATTAGTATAATACTATAGTGATTATTGCAATGGAGCCAAAAACTCGCTATTTTTTGGCTTGACAATATGATGAAATAAAGCAAAATGGTTCACTAAACTGTTTGTGCTTCTTTGTTATGAAGCATCAGTCAGTACATGAAGTTTTTGACGCAATTTTTACTATGGGTCCTCCGGAAACAGTCTCTCTAAGTTTTTAGTACAGAGGTAAGACTGCATACATCCGACACCCCTTACCCCACCGTAGGTGGGAGCCTTTGAGGCACTGAGGTAATGATGATGATGATGACTATAATGATAGTGTTGAAGTTAATTTCCTCAGTCCAAAGGTAAATATCCTTTGGTGAGTGGCAAGATCAAGGAATATGTGCTTTAAATGGATGAAGAACTTTTATAATATAGGAAAAATTGAAAACAATAATTCAACCTATTGTCGGTCTACCATTAATAATCTCAAATATCAATTATTCCTGGGTGGTCCCAAATATAGGAACCATTATCCAAAAATAGTCCCTGACCATGTATAACATTGTATAGCAGGTCAATTTTAAATGGGGGAAATGAGATGAACACCCAAACTTGCATATATAATTTAAATACACCAAATTTTATATAAAAAGTTATTTTAGCATCATAGTCAATATTATTTCTTTCAAAAATGTAAATTTATGGTGTTAATTGCATAATTTAGAATATTTTAAAATTCATGAAGACAGAATTAACACTCTAAACTTATGGTTGTGTTACTTACTTTGAGACTTAGCAATTAATCACATGGGCCCCACTTGTCTCTATTGTGACAATCAAGTCACAAGACACATGATACTTAATTTGGAATTTCATGAACGTACCGAACATGTAGATATGGATTGTTATTTTGTTAAGGAAAGGGACACTAGATTGATACCAAACAATGTTCCATCTCCATGACTAATTAAGTGGCTGGCATCTTTACTTAAGAACTTACTACAATAGTACCGATCGTTCTCAATTTATGCACAACAAGCTAGATGTTCGTGGCCTTCAAACTCCGCCTTGAGGGGAAGCACATGTTTAAATGAAACCGGATTGAACAAACCGTGGTATCATATTTAGAAATATAAAAGCGAATAAAACTTTTTATTTTGATTCGACTTTTGATTTTAAGTCAAAATCGAACCGTTAGAACTTAACCCAACTACCAATATACATGTAATTCGAATATGGTTAGAATGGACTGAAAACTTATTATACTAGACTTGAATATTTGCGGGGTGGACTATGAAAAATGAAAAAAATTACACAAAAAAAATGAATTTTTTTAAACTTACCTTGGTTTTGATCCTACTGTAAGCCATACATAGATCTTTTGTATGCCATACAAAAGATCCTCCCCAATCTTAATTAGCGCGCCATCCATATTGTCAAAATTTCTCACAAAATGGTCTTTCCAGTTTCAATGCACAAAGACCGTGCTGGTAATTTTAGACATAATGTAGTGGTCCAAAGCGTGCGCGTTTTCAGTTCTATGCTACCAATTAAAGCACGTTTTCACGACATGATATGTAATTTAATAGGTACAGACGTGAGATCAACCGCATCGATTATAGTGTGTGATGGTAAAGTCACTAAACTGATCGATTTAAACCTTCAGACCTCAGTAAGCTGGTGAGGCCTTTCGTCCATAATAATTATATGCAAACACGTATATGTGTTATCCAAATAATGTTCAAGGGGGCCTTGGGACATGCGAGTTGCAAGAACATCGATCTTATAATGTCCTCCTCAGATATCGTACAGAAAATCTTTGAAAAGCTTCATATGATGAGACTGTAAGGAAATAGCCACAGATAAGCTACCATCGTTAGTGGGACTTGGGAGTATGAAGCTCAGCCCTTCGTAAGCGATGCCACCAGGTCCCATAAAAACCGGCCTTCCCCACCCAAAATCGGCTTCGTGGATGGGCAGCCTGGCCCAGCTCGTGATCCCGAGGTTGGGGCACCTAAATGTGTGAGCCCCACGCACAAGGGCCTTGAGGTCAGGCTGAGCTTCCAAGTAGTCAAGCGCCGATCTCAAGTAGCTGTCGTCCATCCTGCTCAGCGCGTCATGGATTTTGCTAGCGGCAAACCATGCGGGCTTCGCCTGGAGATCTCCGGAGAGTGCAATGGGAGTGGCCGTGAATATCACGTTACCAAAATAGCCTGGTGGGAGAGGTGGTCTCAGCCTCGACCTCCCGTCAGTGGCTATGTACAGTTTCGTTTCTTGATCCTCATTCAGCCCTCGTGCCTTGCAAGCGCAACGCCAAACATGGCCCGACAACATTTCGTAAGAGCTATACACGGTGCCTTCCTTTGATTTGCCAGCTTTGAGAGCACATATTTGGTCTTTGGATAGTCTGAATATGGACACGGCTGCCTGCTCACCTGCAGGCTGCTGCAATGCGGCGCTGTCGTTGTTCAGGCTGGGAGGCGGTTGGTACTCAACATGGTGGAACTGCGGTTGAGGTGGGTCCCGCGCTTGGAGCAGCGTCCTGTCGATGAAAGGTGGTAGGGTGGGGTCAAGGCCGCGAGCCATGTCTGACCAGGTATTGATGAAGTGTAGGCCTGAAGCTCCGTCTGCCACATGGTGTTGCATTCCCACACCTAAGGACACTCCTCCGCATTTGAACTCTGTCACCTGCACAAATTTTCCCCGAATCAGTCATGCACTCAAGCAGTCGGGTACTCCATTAGGGGATGATGAGAACCAATTTTAAAATGTGAACTTCTCGTATCTCTTTTTCATTTTTATAATCATGCATGCATCAGAATAATTATTTAATTTTCAAACGAAAAAATATATTTCCAAAACACAAAGTATATGTTCCCATTCTTTAAAAAAAAAGTATGTGTTCCCATATGATGCACGTACGCTACGCGTTTTCAATTTTTGTAATCCAAATTAAAGACCTGAGTATCTATGAATTCAAAAATAAGATCCTTCAATGAGTAAAAGTGTAAAACCAAGTACTCTGTTATAATATCGGGCTTTACATGTTCTTTTAGGCTCGGCTACTCATTTAGTAAAAACAGTAGTTAATAAGATTGTTTGAAGTGGTAAGCTTACATTCACAAAGCCACGTACTATGGCTTAAATATACAAGGGATATACATCCAATAGTATTAAAATAAAGATAAGGAGGAGAATACATAGCTAACTACAAAACAAACTAACAAACTATACGTATATAATAAGTAACAAATAATGTACATTTAAAACGATGCTATTCTATTATGCTCCTCGTAAGATGGGCTGCCTCAAGGTGAGACTGATCTTGGAAGGTAAGTGTGGAAGATAGCTCAATCGAGTGGTTTCGTACGTATATCCGCTAGCGGATTATTTGAAGAAACATGAGTAACTCTAAAGAATCATTCTGGACTGTTTCTCGCACAAATGGGTAGCAGTCTAGAGCTAAGTACTTCATACGGGAGTGAAAAACTAGTACTTACATAAGTGGCACCCAAATTATCACAATAAATAACAGGCTTGTGAGAAAGATGAAATCATAGTTCTCATAGAAGAGATATAATCCATATTATTTCAGCTGCAATATTAGCAATAGCCCGATGATGAATACCGGGGCATCCGATTATATGTTATTGGAGAGATTTAGTACATTAGCAATAGCTCCAATTTCAATTGCTTCTATTGATGATCTAGAAATAGTACATTGTTTTGTGGAAATCCATGAGATGGGTGCTTTCCCAAGAAAGACAAGATATCTCATGGTAGAGTGACAATCATCTTTATCTCCGGCCTGGTCAGCATAAAAAATGCATGCATAAAAAGAGGGGAAGAATGGAAGATGTATAAATATGAACGATCTAAAGTTCCACAGAGATAGCGCAATAGGCGTTTAACAGCTACCCAATGATCTGTGGGTGACTCATGCAAATATTGAGAGAGCTTGTTAACCACAAAAGAAAAATCTGGCAATGTAATAGTAAGATAGTGTAACTTTTCCAACAACCATCCGATAATATTCTGGTTTGTTAAAAAACCCCGCCAATTTAGTTAATGATGCATACTTGTTAAAGACAATAATATGAAATTTGAGTGAGTAACCGACCAAGACACATGAGATAGATTTAGGTTCAATTTTTGTTAGGGACCCGGCCCAATTGTTAGGGGCCCGGCCCAATAGAGTATAATAATAATAAAATGTATAAGTTTAGTATAAATAGAAAGAAGCTGGGGGATAGTGAGGAGGCTTTTGGATTGTTTAATTCGGGACTTGGGAGATCGAGAGTTACTCAATTAAACAGAAAGATTAACAATGAAACAATCTGAAAATCTTTCTTGGGGGGCTTCGGCCTTGTTACTTTTCTCCTGTAATCAATCTTCCACTTCAATAAAGATTTTCAGATTGTTTCATTGTTAATCTTTCTGTTTAATTGTTCTGGATTCTTGGGGTTCCTATCAATTTTATGAGTGGTCCAAGGACAAAGTCACGAATAGCAAAGGCAACCAAAACTCTGTTATTTGGTGTAGTTGGGAGGTGTTTTGATTTTTTAAAAGCTCAATATATAGAGTTTTATGATCAACAATTGGGGTTGGAACTTGGGAAGTGGTTAATAAGACATACTGCTCTGTCAAAGCCAAATGGCCATAATGTAGTAGGGATAGAGGCATCGGTAAGAAGGGCAAGACTCGTCTCTACAATGTCTATGGTGATGTTCAGGAGGCCATTATGTTGTGGCGTATGGGGAGGATATGTAAAATGTGAAATTCAATGTGATGTAAGATATGGTATCATTGTCTGATATTCACCCCATTATCAGAATAAAAAAATTCAATTTTGGATTTAAAAAAACGTTCCACAATTTTGTGAAAACGAGTAAACACAAAAAGCGAATCGGACTTACGTTTGAGAGGATAAAACCAGATTACTTAATGTGCTGATCAACAAAAATAACATAATATTTATATTAATCGACAGAAAGTACAGAATATGCCTATAAATTAGAGTAATTGATTTCCAACAGATAAGTGGACTTTATTGTGGAAATATTGTATGGTATTTATGGCTCTTATTACAATGACAAGTGTGACTATTTAATTTATAAGTACTAGGGATTAGAATTCAATCAACACCACTTAGCTAACACATAACTAATATGAAGGGATGACCGAGAGAATGATGTAGTTCAGAAATGAAAGAACATAGACTGGAGTATAGAACTCGGGGAGGAGACTTTAAGGAGGGCTTGTCATAAACACCATGATTTGTTAATCCTTTGAGAAGAATAATGTAAAAGTTCAACATATAAATATGATTATCACGTCACAATTGAGAAACAAACACAATGCTTTGTTTTATTTGTGGGGCATGTATGACACCATTTACTGAAAGGGGGCATGTATAGGAGATAGGTAATCCCGATCCATCACCAATAGCAATCTCATCAGTACCGGCATCTGGTTTGTGAAGAGAAAGATTATCAAGATCAGACTGAAAAAGCATGGTGAGAGGAACCACTGCCGAGAAGGCAGGAGGAATTTGAGGGAGAAACAAATTTGGGCAGAAGAGAAAGAAATAACTTTAACCACATATTTCTTATTTTAATGAAAATGACACATATTTCTTACTTTAAATGGAAATGAAAAAGTTTTTTGAGACGACCAAAAAAAGAAACTCGGCCAAGTTTTATGGAACAGAAAGGAAAGAGTACTATATGTGTACACCAAGAGGCCACTTGACCCACTGTTTTTCGGTTTATCAGGTTTATCAGACAACTTTTTCACCAAACACGTAATTTTTGCTTTCGCGTGCTAAATTGTCTAATAAGCAGAAAAAGTAAGGTTAGAGTTGATTTTCTGGATGTATTGACTGAAGTTATTGTAGATGACCATTTGAGCTATTTTTACGTATAATTTTTTCTTTACTTTATTAACAAAATATATTTTATTTTATTTTCTTAAATACGCAGACAATGCAGGCACTTCAACCAGAACTTTGCAAATTTTAGCAGAATAAGTCAAAACAGCTGATTTTTGTGGTACCAAATTGGCTCCAAGCATCGCCCAAAATCTAAATAGGAGTGCTTGGTGAAAAAGAAGGCCGACCTTTGGCGTAGGGACCGCTGCTGGAAAGAGCCTCCCGTCTGCCAGAGAAAAGATGGAGGCTTCGATCTGTCGCATCTCACACTCGCACCTGCCGCTTCAATTCGTCGGCCAACAGGGGAGAGATGGAGACCATGGCGGCAGCCGTCCAACAGCTATATATCATCCCGGTTCCGGATCCATCACTTGCCTCGGTGCTCTGAATTTCAGATTGGAATCGCTGCTCCTGGTTACCCTTCTGGTTGCGAATGTCGTTGGGATCGAGATGAATTTTGGCATTTTATTTTTGGGAAGGTCACTTACCGCCACCTTTCTTTTCTGTAAAAATTCTTTAGGCCGTATAACATATGGATGCATGTAGGAGAAAAAAAAAGTTTTCAGCTTTTGGCTTAAAAAAAAGTTGAAAAGAGTGTTTTCAAATGACAACTTCTGCTTAAATTAATCACTTAAAAGCTAAACTCTGGAAGTAGGTAGAAGGGTGCTTTAAACTGCTTCTCACTTTTTCTATTACACAAAAAGTACTTATTTTACCAAACACTACCAACTTTTACTTTTCCATAATCACTTTTTTCTCAAACACTACCAACTTTTATTATTAATCACTTTTTCCAAAATCACTTTAAAAAATCACTTTTTTAAAGTTAAAGCAATTGCAAACTCTCCCTAAATGAGTCAAGTCACGATTGTAGATCGTTCGAGAAAAGTTCGACTCGAGTTCGATCATATTAAGCTCGATTCAAGTTCGGTCATATTAAGGCCGACTCAAGTTCGACTCGACTCGAATAATCAACAAGTTCAATTTAAGCATATTTATTTTAAACTCGTGGGTCGTGAGCCGGTTCGTGAACGTTTGTGTCATATTTTATATATGATAATTAAATACGGAGTATGTAATGATTATATACATACTTGTTTTGGAATTTGTATTCTATTTTAGGACTACTCCATTTTCAATACTCATCACATAGTATATTATAATAGTAATAATTACAAAAATAATAACATGTACATAGTACTATTATTATAATCATAATCTGTAATAAGTATAATATGTACTCGTAATATTTATTTACAGTAAAATAAAGAATAAAAATATCAGTAAAGAAGAGATAAACTAAAAATGAGAATGAATAAGTACACATTACATTTTTAGCTCGAGTTCTAGAATCTTATTCAAGTTCAAACCTATAAAAATTAATTAGTGAAATTTGACCCGAGCTCGAATAGAGCTCGATTTGAGCTCCAGCCGAGCTCAGCTTAAGTTCAAGCCCAAATTATTTAACTTGTCCAAGCTCGAGATCGAGCTCGAGAATTCTTATCAAGCTCAAGCATGCCCACGTTGAGGCTCAACTCGGCTCGTTTGCAGCCCTAGATACAGGTAATACTCGTCCTTCATTCAACATGTTATTTGTGGGCTTGGATGGATCTCCAATATTTTTCATAGAGGCCCCCCTTCCCCCTCCTCCATCAATTACGTTGGACCCCTGGTCCCTCCCAGGGGCGGAGCCAAAGGAGGGTCAGGGTGGTTAGCCGATCGATCCCGCTGAAATTTGAGAGTATACAACTCTGAAATATTTTTGATTTGATATATTATGCCCCCGTAATTCATTACAAGTAAAAAATTGTGACTTCTGAAAAAATTATCACTATCTAAACGTAAAATCAGCAAAATTTGATGCATACTATAGTTTATTTTCCCAAATTCTAAAAATAGGATATATTTCACTCTTACGTGACACGACTCAAAAACAGAACAAAGATAATATATCTTATTACTATGAATGCCTATTTATCTAAACTGCATATAAAATATTCAATACAACTTCTTGGGCGGTGACTTTAACACTCCCGTCCTACCACTTCTTTTTTTTTCGTAGAAGTTATGGAGGAGTTTTTTTACTCTTTTTTGGGTGTGGGAAAAGTAATGCAGGACACAAAAGTGAAAGACTGAAAAACGGTAATGATAAAAAACAAACACGCCTCGGATCAACTTCCCACCGCTTCTGATAATTTCATAACGTACCCAAAGACTTCTTTCATCATTTGTAAACGCCATTAGCTATGATTATTATTATTATTTTTTCATCAAAACATGCCTCTATTCATATCAAAAGATTCATCAGGATCATTACATCAAGCAAAGGGAAAATAAAACAGACACCAACTGAAACTCCAACAACTACGACTATAACCCTATGGTGAGACTTTGAGACGGTCACCCCTGAGAGAGCAACACGAATCGCTAACCATGTAGTGGGATTGACACAGCCAAAACTATTCTCATAGATCCAACCATACCCAATGACATAAAGAGAGACAAAAAACTCAAACTGTCAAACCTAACAACAAGAATGGACGCAAGAAAACAAATAACAAAAAGATAAAAACTACAAGAAAAACGTTCACGAACTCTAGCACCTCGTGCATCCCATGGTGGTGGTTCAGGAAGAGGTCGTACCACTGGTACCATGCTAATTGATCCACCATGACCTTTGGCTGCCAAAGACCATGCATTAATCCCCCGTCCCTGCATAACCAAACCCATCCCTGCTCCGTGCGACCAGAGTAAGCGGACAGGCGGCGCCGATCTTCTCCAACGACGACAGCAACGCCGCATCCTCGAACCTTGACCACAACGCCGATCTCCTCGAGCCATGACAACAAATCTGCCCTCCTCCACCGATCTCCGCCCTCCGCGTCTGACCTGGACTCCAGTCGAGCACCAGCGACCAAGGGATAACAAAGCCGATCTTCGATAAAGTCGAAATCGGAAAAAGGCTCCAGCGGCAGACATTTTGAGTATTAGTTTTGCTTAATCTTTATAAAAGAAAGGAATAAATTCTGTTTTAGATCTTGTGAGTATCGCACCAATTACACAATTGGTTCGTGTCTTTGACTTTGACCACTTTTAGTACATGATAATTGTGTTTTCGTACTAATATGATTCTTCCGTCAATATTTCCGATGATTAAATCATCGGAAAAGGATCATAAATGGTCAAGAAACATTCGTCAAGTATCGAAAGTGGGCAAAGTAAAAAATGTGGACTAAATGTAGGATTGTTATAAAACTCATAGAACCAAAAGTGAAATTAATTAAAAAAAAGGGCAGAATGATAAAGTGAACTTTTATGTGTATACTTTCTTAATTTTTGGACGGATGTAGGGTATGTTTGGCACAACTAGCTGAAAAGATACTTTTGTGAGCTTTTTAATAACTGTTAGCTTTTAGTGACTGAAAAGATCTTAAAAAGAAAAGGTAATAGCTGTTTGGTAAAAAGCTGACTGTTTAATTTAGTTCGGTTTGCTATACAAGCTGTTAGGACTAATGAATAATAAAAGTCACAGACTTTTTTTCAGATGCTACTGCTTGTAGCATCTCAAAAAAAATCTTTTAATTTTTGAAAAATTCTTAAAAGTTGTCATGCCAAACATATAACTAGAAGCTTTTAGAGACTTTTTGAACAGTACAAAAGTCAGAAGTCAGAGACTTATGTGTGCTAAACATAGCCATAGTTTGCACCTCATTTTTGGAGGGAGGGGTAACAATAAATGAAGGAGACAATAAAGAACAAACTGAAATGAAATGCCAAATAGTTGGTGGGTATGATTGTGTTTGACTTTACTTGACATTAAAGAAACAAACTGAAATGAAATTAGGTGATCGAAATGAAATTGGGTTACTGAAAGTCAACAAATGTTGTTTGCCGACGCGCGGTGTGAAAGCTGAAACGGATCCAGAATTGGAGGGCTATAGATTAGTGATTGACATGTGAAAAATTCTATTCTTAAACGACTTGGGTACACATTGTGGTTGTCTATTTGTTTGGATCTGATTTTTAAAGGTGACATCATTCATTTGATTGGACTACATCACTTTATCATTTTTAATTTAGATTTAAATAACTCAACTGTTACATTTTCATTGGTCCATATGGACAAAGATATGGTACCTTATGGGTACCATAGAATCCACCTTTTAAAAACTCCTTCTACTCCTTCAATTAGCAGAAATAGAAATTGAAGTGTTTGAGTGAAAGTACAGAAGTACTTCTGGTGCTCTAAATTACTCTAAGAATCAATTTTTTAGAAGCTGGAAGAGACCAGCTTCTGAAAACTGATTATGACTCTGCTTTTGCTTTAAAAAAGAAACAAAAGCAGAATCAGTTCCAAACACCTCATAGACAACTCGTTTGTAAAATGCAGTAATTGTTACAGTATAGAGGTGAGTGTATAAAATGCACAAAAATGCGTGCACTCTCTAATTTTTTTGTACACGTAATTCATTTTAAAGAAGACAACAATTATGTGTGTACAAAACCAAGTTTGCCAAATATGTACAACTTTTATGTATATTAAGAATTAAGAATGGTTGCTGACATATATGGAAGGAGTATTTCATTTAGTTAATAATAATACTTCTTCCATTTTTTATTAACCATCTCATATTCTTTTTTGTATTTTTTGTTGCATATTCTCTTTTTTTTTGGAAGTTTTTCCTACCCTTTCCAATGTATAAAAAAAGTAAGTTCTTCCAATTAAAATATATTTGCTCTTTGACTTTTTTATCTTTTTTTAAAGACATTTTTATATTTATTATTTATATTTATTATTTTACATTTTACAAACTAGTTTTTTTTCACTTTTTTATTGATTTACTCTTCTTAATATACTCTCTTTCCTACGATTTCATTTGGCATACACTCTCTATACTATGTAGTATTCCGTAATAATTAAGGGGTATTTGGATTTACTTTTTAAAAGTGCTTCTACTTCTTCAGGAAGCAGAAATAAATATTGGAAATTTTGGATGAAATTATTTTTGAGTGCACTAAATTGCTCATAAAACAATTTTTAGAAAGTAAAAATGACCAATTTATGAAAAACAGAATCATTTAGAAAAGAGCTAGAATCAATTAGAAAGAAGAGAGCTAGTGTTGAAAAAAATGCGGAGTAAATAAGAAATACATCATCAATAACATGATCGTGAACTTAGCTTAATAATTAGAAAAACAACAACATACCTGCAAAAGTAGTAAAGGATAGGAGGTAATGCCCTGAGAGTAATCCACCGCCGGGATGAGTTGCCGGAGCTCCAACGTGGGAGCGAAGTCACCGAAATCGTGGACAAAGCCGTCAGATTCCGCCTCCACCAGCAGAACACCGGCGGCGTTGCAGTTGATCTCGATGCGGCCGTCTTGGTCCCTCTTGAGGCGGCCGGCCATGGGGTAGAACGGCACCAGGGCTCGGCTGAGCGCATCCCGGAGGACCCCGGAGTCGAAGAAGTCAGGCGCCGAGCCGATCGGGCGCCGGTAAAAGTACACGCTCGGCGTGTGGAAGTTGGGGACCACCAGGTCGACGTTGGAGTTCCACAGGCTCCGGCGCGGAGTCTCCTCCGCCGGCCTCACCATACTCGACTGCTTCACGTCTATCTTCATTTAATTAATTAATTGATTTTCCGACGACGATCGATCTTGCTCAACACAGGGAAGTAACGTAGACGGGAAAGATATACGAAGTATATATATATATACAGCAATGGCTGGGCTGGGAGTACGTTCGTTTAATTCACCCCCCAAAACAATATTTCAGCGCCGGGTCGGGTGACGATGACCTCTACCAAAAAGTCTTCCTTCACTGCGACTACATCCTTGTCTTTTTTTTTTTTATATATATATTTACCTACTAACCTACTCAAAGACGTTAACGTGTTACCAGTCCCAAAACATATGTGAATATGTTTTCAAAAATTCCAGGAATATTACTATCTGAAAACTGCTGGACAAGAATATAACCAACCTCCGTATTTAGAAATAACCATCAAATGCTAACCGTGTGTTTTCTTTGCTAATTATATATTAGCACCAGTCACTTTTTTGTCCATGTAATTACTAATGGTAATATTTAGGTAAAAAACTCATGTGTTTTTATTTTAATATTTTTCATAAATCATAATGTTAATTCCGATCCCTCGATTGTAATTTGTGTTATTATAAATGTTATATCAGATCATTGTTAATGTAAATTCTTGAACTTTGAATTTAGTAGAGGCACTAAAAATGTAACTCAGACTTACGGAAAATGAAACTCGCTTTAACGACAAAACTAATTAACTTGAGGCAATCAAAGTATATATATATATAAGATGTCGTATATAAATAAAAAAAAGTAGAGATTAATTGTTCAATTACTTTACATAAATAGCAAACATATTTTGTTTTTAATACCGAGGCTATAGATCGTGTCTCACTAAAGAATTAAGATGTCGTAAGTCGTGGACGTATAAATGTAACTCGTGTTACTAGAAGTATAATCTCAAGTAGTGGCACATGTAATTCACGTTACTTAAATGTAATCTCACAAATGCAACTTGTGTTACTGGAAATGTAATCTCATGTAGTGGTAAATGTAACTCGCGTTTCTAAAATGCAATTTCATGTAATGAGAAATGCATGTAACTTGCCTTACTGAAAATGTAATGTCACGTAGTGACAAATACGATAATCTGAACTTTCAAATATGAATCTCATCAAGTGAAAATTTAAGATAATGCTTGAAGAAAACTTTCAGACCTTCACATACAAATATGAAATTTTATTTTGAATTAATGAATTGATGGAGAAAAGAAAAAGAGAGTCGATGAACGAGATGGCCAACAGATAGGGGAAGAAGGGGAATACATGGACACACAAATCGGTGAAAGAGGAATAGATGATCGAACATATTGGAAAATAAGAGGAGGTGACAACTCCGGTACCCATTTAAAAAATGAGGTACCGTACCTACCACTCACATGATTGGTCCAAATCATTAAATCATTTTTAATTTAGATTTAAATAATTCAACTGCAACATTCTGATTGGTCCAAATGGACAAAGGTATGGTACCTTTTGGTACCATAGAATCTACCATAAGGGGAATAAAATGACTGGACGGATCGACGAAGAAGAGAAATATATGGCTGGAGAAGAAGACGAGTTATCTTCTTTTTTTAATTAATAAAACGATATCGTGTACACAGTATTGTGACCATTGTTCTAAAACTAGCTAGGCGCTAGTCGGGCGGTTGAGGGGCGCCTAGCGCCTAGGCGGCCGACTAGGCCAATTTTTGACCGCCTAGACCGATTTTTTGGCCGACTAGGCCGACTAGTGCTATACGGTTATGGCCGACCAGGCCGAGTAGACTGATTAATCGGTCCGACTAGGCCGATTTTTAGAACAGTGATTGTGACTGTTTAAGAAATCTTTCGTAAGCTAATACTAATTGAAAGAATTATGTGTATTGAGTGGGTCTCGTACAAGAACAATAAAAAACAAGAAGTATGCAAATTAGACTACAAATCAAGAGTAGCATTCTATGTATTTTGGGGGAAGAATGCCTACTATTTACATTGCAATAACTCCTATATAGGAGGAGTAATTAATGTTTACTCGAGCATTTCTTCCGTTGTGACGGTTTAAAGCTTGTCAATCTTCTCCTTGATTACACTAATTGTCTTATTAATACATAAAAAAAATCTTAACAACCGGCATAAGTCTTATAAATGTATTATTAATTTCTATTATCAATTCTCATAAATGTAATATTAAACCATCAAATATTTGCTTCAACAGTGACTTGTACATTGTGCGCCAGTTAAACGCTCTCACGGTTTAATTTGAGACATGGTTATATACGCAAATAGCCCAATACCTAGCCAGCCTTTGAGTTTGGTAGAGGCTAGATCGAGAGTCGAGACATTGACCATCGGAGTTAACAATGTTGATCACTAGTTGTCAATTGTCATACCCACCCCATCATGTATTAGTTATAACCACCGCCACAGACTCTAAACTTTTCTCAACACCAAGAATATCAATGATTTTTGTAGAAATTTCACCAATATTTATGTGATGTCATACCCACCCCCAAAACTTCTTACCAGATTATATAGAGGAACACCTTATTTAAAGAAAGGGAAATTTAATAAAGAAATGGAGGGAAAGTACTTAAGAAAATAAAAGCTAGTAAAAGAGAACAAACAAACAAGTCAATTTATAACAAAAAAAATTCATATTGATTTTTGAGAAACCCTAGGACACTAGTAGAAAAAGGCCTTATAGTGACACTATTTTTGTGTCACAGAAAGTTTCCGTGACACATATCATTCGTCGCAGAAGGTGGGAAATGGTGACACTAAATTTAGTGTCACGGGTGAAATGTCAACAAATTGTGACGCTTAAGTATCATTAGATATTTTGACGCGAATGTATCACAATTACTTGTGATACTGTAACAAAACAAAAAATCATGATACATTAGTATCATATAAATCAATGATGCCAAGACATCAATAAAATTTGTAACACCATGGTATCATTATGTTTTATAAAACATAAATATATGATTCATAATCTTGGTTCCCAACATCATTAACATATACAAGTCATTCAAGACACACACCTAAAACGGTAAAGACACAAAATATGAAAATCTCACAATTTTCATTCACTAAAAATTTATCCACTAGTAGTTGTACATTTCCTTACAATTTACTTCAAATTTCACCAAACTACATAACAAGTACATGTTTCACCAAAATACAAAACCATGATAATACAATCAAGCAATTGTTTGTTGGTGCTATAAGTGCTGGAGTAGAAAAATTTATGGTTTGCTTCAAACTTCTAGCAATCCAGTCGTACCGCAAACTTCTCCAACCAAATCATCTAGTTCTGTACAAATAAACAATATAAACAAAATCAAGAGCATGAAGCAATGAAGGGATTGAACCTTGAACAGCTACACACAACCTGACCTACAATTCTACAAACACATCCTTTTTTATTTTATTTTTTCTACAAACACATATCCTTATAAACAAGGAACACACTTGAGTAGGTATTTTAAGTCTTTGTTTTGACTGATTTTAGCAGTACATGTTCCTGAAATGTACTTGAAAATATGTACATGGCACTCTCCAGTAAGAAAAGCTAGGAAGTATTTAAACAATGGTTCAGAATTTAATTGCTTAACTGATACCTTATTAGCAAGCTCCTTTATCTGCATTCTAAAATCTGAACTCATTCCATAGATACCACAGTTGTGAAGAACACAGATCAATATTTAAGAAACCAAAGTCATAAGTTAGACATAAAAGTTCACAAACTTAGAAACATAAGCAACTAACCTATAACTAGTTCAAGAATAACTGTACTCCTTACTCAAAAAAGCATAAATATGTGTTCAAACAACTGGGAAATGTTTTACAAACTATATACTCTACATTAAATTAAGAACATGTAAATCAAAGTGGCAAGACTAGCAAGCATAAATAAAGCACCAATGAATGAAGAGGAATCAGCCAAAAAGTCTTACAATCCTAAAAGAGTACAAGGTCTGTTCCAAATTGGCTTTTAAAATTGGCTTCATTTCAAGATTATAATTTTCAAAAACTTAAAATCTTCATTAATTATTTGAGGACTTTCCTCAAACATTTTACTTGCAGCCTTATAATATTGAGTTACTTTAATATCGTGTAGGTGTATGTGCCACTAACGAGATCAGTTTTTTTTACTTTTTTAATTATATTTTAGGATTGTTAAACACATCCAGTTTCGAAATCGCTAAAAACAGAGAAAATAGTGATGCAAAAACAAAGTTATGAACGTATACCATTACCTGATGGCTAAGAGAATAAAAGATGCTGGAAATCCTAATATACGAGAGGGAGAGAGGAAAGGGATAATAAGTCTAGAGGTTTTAGTGAACTTAATCGAGTGTATAGCGTGAAATACCTGCAAAAACAGACCAGGATTCAGGAACATTGATAAGAAAAGGAACCAATGCTTTGTTCTCATCTATGTCGAGCCAAAAACCTAAGTTCAGATAGTAGCTAATAGCGATAGAACTTCTTTCTTACTCCTTCAACCACGGATTGTTTCTCCTCTGCCTCTCATTTCTCCAGTAGTAATTTCTATATGACTATTTATAACCTCTGCAGCAGTATGGTGTACTACATGTAATTGATTAAGCTAAAAATATGATAAAACAGCAAAACATTAAAGAACAAACAATGTCAATAAAGTTTTGAACGTAATCAATCTATGAAATAAGCATTCTTCATAAAGCATATGTTGAGCCATCAAATACCATACACATATCAATACCCTGAAAAATCAATTTATATCAAAGAATACCTTATGAGCAAGTAAACCTATGTTTATGAGCAAAACAAGGGGTTGAGGAACGATCTAAAAATGAATACTTCATATTCAAAATGTTTTCCATAGAATGGAAGCTATAACTACATAATAAAAGGAAAAGTACTTTCATATAGTATTCAATCATAAAATTAGGAACTTGTGAACTATATTAATATATTATACTACTTGTACGGAGCTCCTCGCATTCGAAAGCCCCTGCACACCCTTTTTCAATGTGATTGAGACTTGCGCCGCTTCGCAACCAGAGAGCTTAGCATTGACTATGCCCTTCACTATTCTTACTATTTTGTGCTAACGTTCAGAGCAACGTAGAAGTGGTCTTCTCCATGGCTTTCATCTAGGGTTTGTCTTTCCGCCAAGCGGCTTGCGCCGTTTCTTGTCCAACAAATGATTTAGAGCGTAAGTGGGAGAGCGGTCATTACCACGCTCTACCTCTCCATGGTCCGCTTCTCTATGGTTGATGTTTCTAGATGTGC